AGTGGGTTTTATGGGTTGTTTTGTTTTAGTTTTAGTTTTCATTTGTGTTTTGTTTTGTTTGAGACAGGGTTTTTCTGTGTAGCCCTGGCTGTCCTAGACTCACTTTGTAGACTAGGCTGGCCTTGAACTCACAGAGTTTGCCTGCTTCTGCCTCCTGAGTACTGGGATTAAAGGAGTATTCCACCATGCCTGGCTTTCTTTTTTTCTTTTTTATTTTATTTTTTAACCTGGGTGCTGGGATTAAATTCAGCTCTCCTGGTTTACACAGCAAGCACTTGACCAATTGAGTCAGCTCTTTCTGGACTTATTTTTAAGTATTAGAAGTAAATTTTTATTTGATTTGGTTTAAAAGAAAATATTGGACAAATTACAAATATTCCCATGACAATAAGGGAAAAGCCAAATGAACTTCTAACGAAAGCAATCTTTGAGAGATAGGGTTTGAATGAGATGTCCCCTATGTGTCTCAGGCATTTGAGTACTGCCTCTTTGGAGAGGATTAGGGGGTGTGGCCTTGCTGGAGGAAGTGCATCACTGGGGGTGGCCTTTGAGGTATCAAAAGTTTTACATTAGGTCTGCCTCTGGGTCAGATCAAGATGTGAGCTCTCAGCTGTCGCTGCTGCCACAGTTCCCTGGCACAACAGACTCTAGACCCGCTGGAAGCATAAGCCCCAAACAAACCCTTCTGTATGTTACCTTGGTCATAGTGTTTTATCACAGCAATAGAAAGGCAGCTAATACAAGACATCTGTGCATTTTATTGCACATGAATGAATACTGGTGAAAAATATGCAGAGATTGTATTTTCTTGTTGATGCTGCATATTTGCTCCTGTCCAGATTGCCACAGTTCTCAAGTTTCCCTTTCTTCAACTGCCACATAACTATAAATCCAGTTCCACAGTGGGATGCAGCCCTCTGCCATGCTGCCTGAGCCAGCACATCCACTCCATCACAGCATATCCAAAAAAGCCCAGCCAGAGAGTCTTTAATGTTGCTACACAGAAAAGTTACTGGGGAAAAAAAGTGTGTAAGATTTATGTGTTTGGGACTGGAGAGAAGGCTCAGCAGTTAAGAGCACTAGCTGCTCTTCCAGAGGACCCAGGATCAATTCCCAGCACCTACATGGCAGCTCACAACTGTCTGCAACTCCTGTTCCAGGGGATCCCCACACAGGCATACATGCATTAAAAACATCAATGTGCACAAAGTAAAAATAAGTACATTATTAAAAAAAAAAGATTTATGTGAGAGGTCAGGCATGGTAGCACACACCTTTAATTCCAGCACTTGAGAGGCAGAAGCAGGTGTATCTCTGTGAATTCAAGGCCAGCCTGGTCTACATGGTGAGTTTCAGGACAGCCAGAGCTACGTGAGACCTACCTTTCTTTACAGGAAGGAGAGAGAGAGCAAGCTGGCTGGAAAGATGGCTCAGCAGTTAATGGAGCTTCCTACTCTTCCAGAGGACCCAAATTTGGTTCCCAGCAACCACATTAGGCAGCTCAAAACTGCCTGTACCTCTAGCTCCAGAGGACCCGACATGCTCTTCTGCTCTCCGAGGACATTGCACACTTGTAGCACACACTGACACAGACACACACACACGCAAAAGGCTTTTAAGATTAAATATAATTTTTAAAGGTTTCATGGGCTGGGGAGATAGCTCAGCAGTAAAAGCACTAGTTTTACAAACATGACGACAGAATTTAGGTGGCAAGGGTGTTGGAGTTTGACAGAGAACCAATTTCCTTGAGGCTCATTTGTCACCGAAACCAAGTGAATACACAAAGGGAAAAAAAGGAAAGAAAGAAAGGAGGATAGTAGAATACATGATATAAAGGTGTGGTGGAGGCTGAAAGGAATGAGATGTAAAGGGATTAGGGTGTGTGTTAGGAGGCAAAGAGGTGGTGAGGACGTGTTAACCAAGATGGAAGATGTATGAGAGACCCCTGTGGAGACCCGCTGCTGTTTGTCTGTCTGTTGGGGTGGGGTTGGGTTGGGTTGGTTTTTCAAGACAGGGTTTCTCTGTGTAGCCCTGGCTGTCCTAGAACTTGTTCTAGAGACCAGGCTAGTCTCAGATCAGAGATCCACCCACTGCCTCCTAAGTGCTGGGATTTAAAGGCATGTGCTACCACTACCCAGATGGAAACTTACTACTTTATAAACTTTATATACTTTAATATAATCTAAAATTATAATTAAAAATAAAAATAGTTTGAACAGATTCTCTTGAACGGATGGATAATGATCCCTATAAGAGACATGAGTTTTTAAATGAAAACTCTCAGCACCAGTTCTCTACAACTTGGTGATCAGGGAGGCCCCAGAGACCCCTAAACAACACAGGTTAATGCCTCTATTGCTGAAGACACAATACACTTTGTTTATAGGACATAGAGAAATAAAGTAGGAACTGACCTGAAAACTTCTTTTCATAGTACCAGAAGGTACTGTGCAGGCCACTGAGGGAGAAAAGACATCGTGGCATCCTTCCGTCCAACCCTACATGCTGCAATACTGACCCACCAGCCAAGATGTAATCCTCTGGTGCAGCAATGGCATAAATGTTACGGGTGTAATCAGCTGCTTTTAGATTGGGTTTGAGGCCTGAACCACAGGAATTCAGGCCTGGTACCATAAACCTGGTCAAAAGCCTGTCCTGTGGCTCAGTAGTTCACAGGCTCTTCTGTTGTTTTTCTTTTCTTTCTTTCTTTTTTTTTATAACGTTATTTTTTTTAAAAGATTTATTTATTTATTTATTATGTACACAATATTCTGTCTGCATGTACACCTGCATGCCAGAAGAGGGCACCAGATCTCATTACAGATGGTTGTGAGCCACCATGTGGTTGCTGGGAATTGAACTCAGGACCTCTGGAAGAACAGACAGTGCTCTTAACCTCTGAGCCATCTCTCCAGCCCCCTCTTTCTTTTTAAGATTTATTTATTTATTATTTATATAGTATCCTGCCTGTGTGTGTGCTTGCACGCCAGAAGAGGGCACCAGATCTTATTATATATGGTTGTTTATGAGCCACCTTGTGGCTGCTGGGAATGAAACTCAGACCTTAGGAAGAGCAGCCAGTGTTCTTAACCTCTGAGCCATCTCCCCAGCCCCTACTGCTGTTTTTCTAAAAGACATTTTGTCAAACTGCCTTCTAAGTATTTATGCTTATACTCATAGATTGATGTTGCTTCCAATCTTGGCCAGAGGTCAGCATTAATACAGATATTCATCATTGGTCAAAGTGCTGACAATAAGTGTCTATTGAGAGCTCAGTCCTAAGTGAGCACTGTATCCCACACACCACAGCCAAGTCTCAGGGAACATCACTGAAGAGGGATGGAATGGACCTAAGAAGTGCGGGATGGGGTTGAGTGCTGTGAAGCTCTGTCTTTGGGACATGGCATGGCCATGTCACCCACGGATGCACTGCAGCTATGATTACCTGTGCAAGATCTCAAGTCTACAAGGTCAGACAATGTTCCAACAGCCAGCACTAGCTGGACTCAGTGAGTTATTAACATGTGAAAAAGAGAGGACATGAAGTGCGGAGGGGATCATATTTAGGGTGCTTTGGGGGAGTGGAGGGAGGAGGTGGAGACAGTGAAAGGGGAGTAGGGGTACAGATCATCAAGATGCATTGTTCACAGTTAGTTGACAATTTAAAAAAAAAAAAAAAAAGTAAAGCTAGGGGTGGTGGCTCATGTCTGTAACCCAGACGCTGGGGAAGCTGAAGTAGGACTACTGTGAGTTTGAGGTCAGCCTGTGCTGGACAGCAAGGCCCTGTCTCTCACACACCGTGAGCTTCAGATAATAATGACTACGGTGGCCCTTTCGATACCCATAGGAGGGGTGCCCAAGAGGTAGGCCGGCATGCAAGTGCAAATTTAAAGTTCTGACTGGAACTTTTTGCTAAGGAACTAAAGGCGGCCAGAGAGACTGGGGACAGACCACTCTGCCTCGCTGGGCTCCACTGTCCCCATACCCAGCTCTTCTCGTCTATAAAATTAGGAAAAAATTTACATTTAAAAATTTTTGTGTGTTTGTGTATGTGTGTGCAAGTGAGCATGCATGCATGCGTGCATTTTACATGCACGCCACAGCACATGTGTAGAGGTCAGGGAATAGCCTACAGTAGTTTTCTCTTTCCATCACGTAGGTCCTGGGATCGAACTCAGGTTGTCCAGTTTGGTGGCAAACGTCCCTACCCACTGAGCCATCTAGCTGACCTCTCACTTTCTCCCTGTGACCCCTCCTCTGACCTCACAGAGTCTGGATCTCCTCAACCCCAACCCTGGACCTGACACATTTGTCTTCTTACCCAAGTTCAGCCATTCCAGCCTCTAGCATTTCCTTCATTCACATCCTCATTAATCTCGGAAGCACTTTATTGAACCCCTCTTACAGGTTTCAAGATGGTCTGACCGCACCCCACACCCACACATCCTGGTTAAGGTGTCTGGACATGTAAAAGGGCATTTGGTGGCACAGTGACTGGGCAGGAAGCAGCAGTACAAAGGGCCTTGTACGAAAGAAGCTGCCCTCCCGGGATGCCAGAAGCGCATCATGGAAAAATTCATTCGACAGACATTTGCAACTGGCCAGGGAGTCCCAGCTGTGATGCAAATAGATGCAGTGTTGTCTGGCCAGGGACACAGCAAGTGATACCAAGGTGGCCTGAGGGTTGTGAGTGAGCACCTGGGGGGAGGACACTTTGTTCTGGGTGAGGGAGGAAGGAGGCTGCCTGCTGGGGGGACTTTTGAGCTTAGGCCCTGGAGAGTAAGTTTCAGATACAGGGCAAGGCAAAAAGTCCCAGCAGACGGAAGCAAGTGTGCAAAGGTCTGAATGCTTTGGGGGCTGGAGTTACCCTAGAGGGGGCTGTTCCAAGAAGTGCAGGAAGCAGGGTCGGGTCTTGAAGGCAGCAGAGGGAGATGGATAGTGGAGGAGGAAAATGCGCTCCTAGGAGGCAGGCAGAGCCTCTCTTCCTTTTGCCAGCCCTAGAAATTACGCAGGATGTTGTTGATGATATCATACTTGGCATTGTCATAAATGTCCCTGATCTTAGGGGGCAGATCTTTGAGCTTGTCCTCCTGGGAGACGTAAGCAGCAACACTGCCCATTTGGACACCCTGTGGGAGAGACACGAGGCAATCGTCACCGTTACAGTAGAGAGAGTCCTTTCCCCTCCTGCCTGTGGTCTTCCCCTCAAGGGGAGGCTGAGCCCACAGAGCCATCAACTGCAAGGGCGTGAGTGGACGTGGAGGCCTGGCCTCCAGAGGGCCGGAGCAGATCTGGATTAGGGGGAGGCGAGCTTCCATGGGCTGTCTTGAAGCCAGAAGGTTGGTGTTCCAGAGCAGGAGTTTCCTCTAGGACTCCTCCAGGTTCTTCCTTGCCCAACAGCGGAAGGTCTAAGCCTCACTGCACAGCACCTGCCGCACTTTCCCAAACCCTTGCTGAAGGGGTTTGACTGGTTCTGTTCTTCTGGTGGAGCATGTGTAGGCGTGCCTGTGTATGCCTGTGTGTGCCTGTGCGTGCCTGTGCATGCAACACACACGCATGCAGCTCAGTGTCTCCTGGAGCCCAGGAGAGAACCCAGCGGGAGGGGATGGTGCACCTCAGGACTGGGCCTGAGTGGACATGGGGCCGAGAACTGCTCACCTCTCTACTGCAGCTCCTGTCGCAGCTCAAGGTCAAGGAGGTTGACTTCAACTTTCTGAAGAATTCCCCCGTGCAGTTTCGCTCCTCCTATAGGTGGATGGCACAAGAGCTTAGAGGCATCTTGGCACATTTCCGGAGAGAGGCAGGAAGTGTCCTCAAACCAGAGACGTAAGCCAGAGCCAGCAAAGAGAGACAGTGGCCGGGAAGGACAGATGCACACCCATTAACATAAATGACGGGACATCCATAGACGTTATCACAGGAGAGGGCACCTGTAAGTTACCATGCCCAGAGAAAGCCATGTTTGTTGAAGGTTGTGGGTGAAGACTCACCAACGGGAGATGCCTGTCCCTGCGTCATGAGGGACATTGCTTTAAATGTGAATGGTAAAGGAACATTTAAAATAGGTTACTTTCTGGTTCAGTTTTTTGTTTTGTTTTGTTGTTTTTCAAGACAGGGTTTCTCTGTGTAGCCCTGGCTCTCCTGGACTCACTTTGTAGACCAGGCTGGCCTGGAACTCACAGAGATCCTCCTGCCTCTGCCTCCCTGAGTGCTGGGATTACAGGTGTGTGCCATCACACCTGGCCTCTAGTCTCTTTTTAAAAAGCAGCATCTCTAGGTGGACCACAGACACACTTTGTCAATTTGCTTTTTTATGTATTTAGTAGCTTTTAGCGTGTAATGCCTTTTCCCACACTTTTTTTTTTTTTTTTTTTGGCACTAGGAATCAAACCCAGGGCTTTGCATGCTAAGTAAGGCTCTACCACTGAGCCACAGATTGCTGTTGTGGTAATTGCAATAATTTATAGTAAGGTATTAAAGAAAGTCTGGTTTTGTTTTGTTTTGTTTTGTTTCTAAAAATTATTTGGGGTGTGTGAGGGTACGTGCCTAGAGAGGTCAAGGCATAGCCTGTGGGAGTCAGCTCTCTTCACTACATTGGCTCCAGGTTCCTTTTCCCCCCTAAGCCATCTCTAGGCCCAACACTCTGATTTTGAGAAAGGTTTCAATGTTAAAAACAGCCAATGAAAGTGGCCAGGACATGTGGAAGAAGCCAGGAAAAGAGAGAACTTCTCTTCCTCCCGAGGCAGGCGGGGGTCTGGATGACAGAGACTCACCCCATCTTCCAGGAAGTCGCAATTTTTAGGCTGTCTCTCCGGGGTGGAGGTGCACACTGTCTCTTTAATCCTGAACTCGAGTGGGATACTGGCAGTCGGGTTCTAAAGACGCAAAAGAGAACTCGTGACCATTTCTCTCTGCAGTTTAGGGAACAAAGCACTTGCCGCCCGCATCAGTCTAGTCCAGGCTATACTGACCACCAAAGTCTGGGGCTTATTAAATAACCACAACAGAGACCCGGAGGGTAAGGTCAGTGGGTGCTCTTGCACATACCTGAGTCTCAGCACTCAGGAAGCCGAGGCACGTAGCTCTCTGTGAGTTCAAGGCCAGCCTGGTCTACAGAGCAAGTTCTAGGCCAGCCAGGGTGACATAAATAAAGGGTACAGCCAAGCATGGTAGCACACATCTGTAATCTCAGCACTTGGAAGGTAGATGCAGGAGGATCAGGAGTTCAAGGCCAGCCTCAGCTACACAGCAAGGACCATGTTGTGGTTTTTATCACAAATAGTTACATGACACTCTTGTGATTGCCCTTCAGCATCCTCTTGTGTAAAATAGGAACACAGACCCCTTCCATTCCTCATGCCTCATACCAGGAGACAGGTTGAGAGTACAGACTTGTCCTCACTGTGAGTATAAGAAATGGCTGGCCCAGAACTCATTACGTGGCTGAGACTAACCCCCAACTTCCAATCCTCCTGCCCCTATCTGCCGAGTGCTGGGGTTCAGTTCCAGGGTTGCATGCATGCAAGGCAAACACTCTTACCAACTGAGCTACATCCCCAGTGCCCAGGTAAGAGAAACTTTTACACTTTCCTCTTCCCAGGCTGGGGTGGCAGACACTCACCTGACTAGATGGCGGGGTGGCATTCAGCAGACGGAAGAGGGGCTTTCCGAGCTGACCCTTGTTGTACGCCTTTAAGGCCAGGTCCACAATATCCTCATACCTCAGGAGGCGACGGGCCTCGCAGGCTAGCATAGCCAAGGCCACCACCAACACCAAGACCTTCCACTGCCCTGCCATTGTCTCTGACACATGGCCACTCTTGGCCCCTTTTATTTAGGTGATACCAAGGCTGCCTTTCCCAAGGACTGCTGGTAACATAAAGGGCTGGTGCTTCCAGAAAGGGGGGGCGGCTTCTTTACTTGGCCAGAGATGGAGTATTGGTCAATGTTATGAAACACTGTTGGCCAAGAGAGGCAAGGTTTGGGCAATAGAGCAGGACCTCGAAGGGAGCCCCAAGCTAGAAGCAAAAGACTTGTGGGCAGGCTGGCCATGCCTATTTACTCTTGGCTTCAGGGCCCAGCTGGCTCCCTCCAGACCTGCCCATTCACAGCTCTTCTCTTTCTACCTGGCTCTTCCGCTTTGATCTCAAAATTAGCTGCCCAGAGCTCATGGACACCTCATATGAGTTCATCATCCAAGTTCACAAAGAGACAGTCATTTTGAGGGCAAACTCAGAGCGACATCCACGGTGTCGTACACATTTTAAAAATACATCAACTTTTAAAACTCTGAATGTCATCACTTCTTGGCCTTTCAAATTTTGCTTATGGATTGGGCATGGCGGCACACATCTTTAATCCCAGCACTTGGGAGACAATGCCAGGTAGATCCCTGTGAGTTCAAGGCCAGACCAGTCTTCAAAGAGTTTCAGGCCAGCCAGGGCTACATAGTAAGACCCAGTCTTTAAAAATAAAATAAAGGTATGATTAAAGGTGCAGGCCAGCTCTGAAGGGAAAGGTATCCTAACAGTAAGGAACCAGAAACACTGGACAATAAACCTCACATAAGAGATTTATAGGGAAAGACACAAAAAATGGCTGCCTCTGCAGGGGTGTGTGAGAGAAGCAGCAAAGAACTGAGCAGGAGTTAGGGTTTATATAGAGTTTCTTGTGGGAAGCAGAGCTTTCCAGGGTGGCCTGGGATTGGTGGGATTTTGTGGCCTGACCTTGGGCTTTCCCCCAACTTGTAGGATGGAGTTTGGCCTTCCACATCTCAAGAGGCTGGAAGTCTGGAGTGGGGCCTGGCCACTTGCACCTCTAGGGGCTTACAGAAGGTCTCTGTGAGTTCAAGGCCAGCCTCGTCTACATAAGGAGTGCCAGGAGGACTACACAGTGAGACCCTGTCTCAATAAATAGAATCTATTCACTTATTAAGTTTTATCACTTAGTATGTAGATGCACACATAGCCACAGCATGAGTATGGAAGTCAGAAGACAACTTTGTGGAATTGGCACTTGTTAGGGTTTCATGATGGAAGGGTACTGTGGCAGGTCAGGGCCAAGGAATGCCACGAAGTCACACCAGGCCTCAGATCTCATTCAAGAGATTTATTGGGGTGAGGGGGTCCTCTGGGCAGGGACAAGAAAGAGGGAGAGAAGGAGGGGGAGAGAGAGAGAGAGAGAGAGAGAGCAAGAGAGGGGGAGAGAAAAAGGGAGAGGGGATGAGGAGAAAGGGAGGGAGAGAGAGAAAGAGAGGGAGAAGGAGAGGGGATGAGAGAGAGAGGGAGGAAGAGAGGGGGGAAGGAGATAGTGGGAAAGAGGGGGAGGGAGAAGGAGAGAGGGGAAAGAGAGAGCCGTGGTGGACTTCACAAAGAGCACAACTCGTTGCAACAGTGGGAAGGTATTGCATTTGGAGGCTGGTGATGATGTGTGTGGCGGCTGGTGCTGAGCCACTGAAAGCAGGCTGGGAAGCACCTGGTTCCTACCATGTGGGTCCCAGGTTAAATTCAGATCATCAGGCTTGAGCAGCAAATACCTTTACCCACTGAGCCATCTTGGGAATTCCTGGTCTTTTGTGGGAAGATCAAGTATGAAACTTTGAAAAATGAAGACCTCCATGACCCTCCAGTCCCTCAGAGCTTTGACATCAGCACCCTCTCTGTGTTTTGCCTCTAGCAGCTCACTGCCCAAAGGGATAAAATTTCCTGTTTTCAGGTACAGGCAGTGCCAGGAAGCAGCTTGAAGAGGAGCAAACAGACCCCACCTTTCTCCTGCAGTCTCCCTTGCTAGAGGGAATGGCCATTAGCTTTCCAGCCAGCATACAGCTGAGGAGCTACTGTTTTCCTAGGAGATACTGGAAAGCAGGTGATATTCCAGCCTGCCTCCATTTTAGGCTTAAAAGCCATCTTGTAGTAGAGACAAAATAGGTTCATTTCTGTTTCTCAAGACCTGAGCTATGCCCCACCTGTACCCTTAACCCCAAATGGTTCTGTACTGCCGGTTCCAGGAAACAGCAACCATGTCTTTGTTTTGAAAAGTATAATAACCATCTTGCAATCCTATCTTTGTTTCAAAAGATTATTTTGACCTCAAATGCAAGGACTTCTTGAATGCAGCACTGTTACTTTATTGTGGTTTTGATTTGCGTTTTCCTGACGGTTAATAATTTTTAGTGTCTTTTTGTGTGCTTAGTGTCTATTTGTCTTTAGAGAAATGCTTATCCAAATCCTTGTAAAATTTCTCTTCTATGGGGCTGGAGAGATGGCTCAGTGGTTAAGAGCACTGTCTGCTCTTCAAATCAAACACTTTCACCCTCAAAATCCCTCCCACTGCCCAAGGTTTGTAAACCCCTGATTTCAAATAAATGTGCTGGGGGTGCCTGCATGCAGGCTGTCTGTCTGCCTGATACCATCAGCTTTCCACCAGGGCTGTTAGAGCCCAGGCCACGTCTCACCAGGCCTGCCCTCCGGCCTGCTGGGCTGGGCCTCCCCAGGCCTGTGTCTGGGCTGCAAGCCCTCTAGGCATGGGCTTTCACCCGCACCTCTGCATGCTCAGCACAGCAGCTTAACCAAGAGCTGTAATACTTTTGGTATCACCACAGGCTTTGGAAAGCCAGAGTTTCCACTGCCACAGGTGATCTCAGGCTAAAAGGGCTAAACTGTAAGACTCTGAAAACTCTTTCTACAGCAGGACCTAGGGCAGAAAGGTGAAACTTTTTGAGTTAGAATTTAGAAAAGTGAGCAGATGGAAGATGGTTAAGAACCCTGGCTGCTCTTGTAAAAGGCTTAGATTCCATCTGTAACTCCAGTTCCAGAGGAACCAGTGCTCTCTTCTGATTTCCTCGGGCACCCGGAACACCACACATGTAGGTAAAACACTCATATCTATAAAAACAAAATAATAATTTAAAAAATACATTAAGAGGGGCTGGAGACATGGCTGAGAGGTTAAGAGCTCTGGCTGCTCTTCCAGAGGTCCTAAGTTCAATTCTCAGCAACCACATAGCATCTCACAACCATCTATAATGAGATCTGATGGCCTTTTCTGGCCTGCAGGTGTACATGCAGATAGGGCACTCATACATGAAGAAGAAGAAGAAGAAGAAGAAGAAGAAGAAGAAGAAGAAGAAGAAGAGGAGGAGGAGGAGGAGGAGGAGGAGGAGGAGGAGGAGGAGGAGGAGGAGAGGAGGAGGAGGAGGAGGAGGAGGAGGAGGAAGAGGAAGAGAAGGGGGGAGGAAGGCAAAAACATTAAGAAAAGGGAATCTGCCAGGTATTAATCCCAGCACTCCGGAGGCAGAGTCAGGTGGATCTCTGAGTTCAAGGCCAGCCTGGTCTGCTGAGTGAGTTTAGAACAGCCAGGGCTATACGGAAAAGCTCTGTCTCAAGAAAGAGAGAGAGAGAGAGAGAGAGAGAGAGGAAAGAAAGAAAAAAGAAAGAAAGAAAGAAAGAAAGAGAGAGAGAGAAAGAAAGAGAAAGAAAGAAAGAAAGAAAGAAAGAAAGAAAGAAAGAAAAAGAAAGAAAGAAGCAGGCTTAGTACAGATCTGTAAACAATTGCCTGTCCTCCGTCCTTCCTTCTTTTCTTTTTTTTTTTTTTTAAATATGAAGACTTGTTTGTGGCCCAGGCAGAACTTTAATTTCTGCTCTCTGGTTATTTTCATTTTCCTGCTTTTCCCTCCTGAGTCGTTGGGCTGTCAAAGAGTTCCAGGACACTCAGTGTGCACATTTTACAATACAGTTATATAAATTGCCCTAATTGTTTTAAAACTAACATGTTTTTGTATTTTAGGCTTGGAGTGGTGGCACACACCTGTAATCCCAGCACTTGGGAGGTGGAGGCAGGAGGATCAGGAGTTCAAGGACATTATCCACAGCTACAACTGATTAGACCCTATTTTTGTTTTGGGAGAGAGAAAGAGAGAACATAAAGTTGAGTGGGTAGTTAATAAAGGGGTTGTCTTGGAGCTCACTCTTTAGACCAGGCTGGCCCAAACTCACAGAGATCCACCTGCCTCTGCTTCCCGAGTGCTGAGACTAAAGGTGTGCGCCACCACACCCGGCTGTGTTTGCAGATTCTGAGACATGGATTTTCACAAGTTTGAGACACTCATATGGTCTCCAAAACTGACAAAGAAAGTAAGGCCTGGAGGGCTGAAGTAGGGCTCAGTGGTTACAGGGATTTGCCGCTCTCTTTGGGAACTCGGGCTCTCTGGGTCCTGTAGGACTGAAGAGAGGCTCAGGGCTGGTGGGGACTTGCAGGAAGCGCACCCCCAGCTCCAGAAAAAAAGCTGTTTGCTTGTGAACTTCAAAAGATCAGGTTCAGGTGGGTGCTCCCGCTCCAAAATCTGTATGTCCATCTATGCCAAGACGACAGGCCTAGCCAAGAGATTTCATAAGAGCAGGTGAGTTGTGAAGAAAGACCCATCTCACGTCCTGTGGGCCCTCGTGAAAGCCCTTTGCCCTCTCAGCCCTCCCCTTCCCATTTCTGCACTGTGTAGTCAGGAGGTGACACAGATTCTGGAAGCCTTGCTCGAGTGTGGGGAGCAAGGTGGGCGGGGTGGGGAAAGTGACTGTGGCCACAGTGCTCCCAGGAAGACATATGCTTGAGATTCCTTTTTTTCCTCTCCTCACATTTTACTGTGTGTGTGTGTGTGTGTGTGTGTGTGTGTGTGTGTGTGTGCACATGCGCGCTGAGTGCACATTTGCCACAGCATGTCTATGGAGACCAAAGAACTACTAGGGGTTAGCTCTCTCCTCCCCCGCACAGGCCTGAGGCTCTAAACCACTGTGTGGGTATAGGTGG